GCACAGGGCATCAACATGACTGCTCTTCCATTGCCATGTTAGTGGTCACAGAGGCAATCTTTACAAAGACACTCAACAGCAACTCATCAAGACACAGGAGATTCCTTCCCAAGGAGGAAGAACAGATGGTAAGATAGGTTGTGTGTGTGGATGGAAAACAAAGAACCAAGAGAAGAAATGCAGTGCCAAGAGGCGAGCCAGGAGCTGAGTAACAGCTATTAATGCTCTACAGAGAGGGCTAAGGCACTGAGAGCCAGTTGGTTCTCTGCTGAAGTGAAGATGATTCCAGCACAAAAGTTTGGAAGATGAGCTAGAGAGCTCTGCAAGGGTCAATAGACACTGACACGCAGTAGACCCTGTATATGCAGAGCTGACTGTGTAGAAGCTCCTAAAAGGTGTAAGGTTTGCTTACCCAGATTGTCTTCAGTCTTGGTGGCTATTCTCTCTCCAGCCAAGAAAAAAAAGCTGCTTTAATTCTGTGGTTCCAGACAGTTTTGTCAGCAAAGGTAGTTTAAGAAGTCCCTGCCTCCTCTCCTCTCACCTTCAACTGCTTGTTTGTATTGCAGAACCATTCCACCAGAGCTCCTCATCTACATGCCATGTTAATAGTATTAAGAGCAATTAGATGAGTGAAGGCTAAAACAACCAGCATTTAGTGTGGGCAGAAGGTACAAACTATATTTTCCCATTGATTAGACCAAGAGACTGGACACAAAACAAAATTTCTCAATGCTAGTGACTCAAGGTGAGGACAAAATGAAAACCTGCAAAGAGCATCTATCCCAAAGAGCATCTATCTTCACCTCTGACTTGCTTTCAGCAATCTTTTCTCAAGAGCCATCATATTCAGCAGTCATAGATGCAACTGAGAAAAAACAGGGTTTACTTGTTTCAACAAGGGAAACACTCTTCATTTTCTTCTCAGATGACTTCATCTCCAAATATAAAACGAAAATCCATTTGCATCAACACTAGCCTTTTGCAGGCATCAGAGAATCTCAAAAAGCTCTCTCCCTGATGATGCTCTTTCCTAATAATTCAAAAATAAATAATAATTTTTTAAAAAAAAAATCAATTTCCTCACTTGCAATCCCTCCTGATATTTTCACATATACAGGCAAAAAAAATCTCTTATTAATGCCACAAAGATGCACCCAGATGCCAGAATCAAAACCTTCACTACACATTCTCTTTAACAGCTCTCATTTAGAGTGAGCAGGTGGTGAGAAGGAAGAGAGAAGAGGATTATTTTGGGAAAGGAAGCAATAACTGTTACTAGTCTGTCAAACAGTATGAATGGTGGAAATCTGAATCATGCTTTTACTGTATGAATGGTTAATTCCAATCTGCTCTTATAAATACCCCTGTTAGAAAAGAGCAGGATCTGAAGTAGAAATGGAGGCAAGTACAAGGGATGGACCAGCTTGAGTTTTCTTCATCTTACCTCCTCTGATAACATTTAGGTGCTGGTCTCCAGAGCCTGTATCACACTTCAGAACGGAATTAGCCCATTGAAAATAACGCTTGAAAGAAGGAAAGAGGTTGTCAAGCTGGAGTTAGGAAGAAATTACAGCCACATTTTTACCTTCCCTGAATGGAAGCACCTCTGAGTAAGTGCTGCCAAGATGAAATCCGAGCAAGTAAATGCCATATTTTGAGTGTGCCTATTCACTGACAGAGAGGTATCACTATGACGATACAGATGACGTACCAAGGAAATTTCACTGCATACATTTTAACAGAGAAGCAGACGGCTTGCTGACACAACTCTGTGTACAATGTACCTTCCAGATGGGCATGAAGAATTTCAACATTAGAAACAATCACTCCACTGCCTGCAAGCAGAGGGCAAGCTCCTAAGCAGTAGGATGGCCAGTATCCTCTGGAGTTACAGTTTTTAAACAATCTTATTAGTTTTCACTGTTTAAACAAGTCACTTTCTATCTCGTGTTTTATCTTTGTGCCCACCCCTCCAGCTCTCATTCGAGGGTGACTAGTGGTTTCTGGCTGCACAGAAGGGATGGCTCAGCTGCTTCTCTAGCAGCTGCTGAACTATCACAAATTACAGCTTACTGTACTGAAGTATGTGGAAATTGGTGGCTATCTTAGTACGTGGGACTGTAAAACCACAGTGG